CCTACTTCCGTAGTGATACTACCTCGGAAACCCAAGGAGGGGTCGCTATGAGTCAGGGCTGACTCGACGGCACATAACAACAACAACAACAACTTAAGCATAGAGTTGATATTTAACAGTATTATTTAAAATGTCCTAATATGGTTAATTAGACGTCCTGGTTGCACAGTGGTTAAGCACTCAGCTGCTAACCAAAAGATCACCGGTTTGAATTCCACCAGCCGTTCCACAGGAGAAATATGTGGCAGTCTGCTTCAATAAAGATTACAGTCTAGAAAACCCTGTGGGGCAGTTCTGCTCTGTCCTATAGGATCAACTTGACAGCACTGAGTTTAATACGGTTAGTTAGAAATACCTTAATAGTCAGAATTAATTAATGTAATGAAACAAGGATATTTCATGGTAGAGCCTATGGTGTATGTCATGAATTTGTGCTCGTTTTCCTTTATTAGTAGTAAAGTAACTGCAAAGTGAAAATTATCTACAATGTCCTGGAGACATATCACCATTATGCCCCAGCTGTTTCTGGGATAAAGGTGTAAATGTATTGTGGATGGTTACTTTAAAGATAAATCGAGATCATTTTGGTATTTTCTTTATTCATTACTTTGTGTAATCCTATAGTGTTTGTGTATATATATGTATATGTGTGTGTATATATATACACACACACACATGTATCCATTCCAAAGAAAGGTGATCTAACGAAATGTGGAAATTATTAAACAATATGATTCGATATGATTAACATCACATGCTAGTAAAATTTTGCTGAAGATAATTCATAAATGGTTGCAGCAGTATATTGACAAGGAACTTTCAGAAACGCAAGCTGGATTCAGAAGAGGATTTGGAATGAGGGATATCATTGCTGATGTCAGATGGATCTTGGCTGAAAGCAAAAAATACCAGAAAGATGTTTACCTGTGTTTTCTTGACTATGCAAAGACTGTGTGGACCATAACAAATTATGGAAAACATTGTGAAGAATGGGAATTCCAGAACACTTAATTGTGCTCATGAGGAACCTGCTCATAGACCAGGAAGCTGTCATTCAAACAGAACAAGGGGATATTGCATGGCTTAAAATCAGGAAGGGAGTGTGTCAGGGTTGTATCCTTTCTCCATACTTATTCAATATGTATGCTGAGCAAATAATCCAAGAAGCTGGATATATGAAGAATGTATCATCAGTATTGGAGGAAAATTCATTAACAACTTGCAATATGCATACAACACAGCCTTGCTTGCTGAAAGTGAAGATGACTTGAAGCACTTAACTGATGATTAAAGACCTATAGTATGCAGTGTGGATTACACCTCAACATAAAGAAAACGAAAATCCTCACAACTGGACCAATAAGCAGCATCATGATAAATGGAGAGAAGATTAATTGTCAAAGAGTTCATATTACTTGGATGCACAATCAACACTCATGGAAGGCAGTGTCAAGAAATCAGATATTGTATTGCAGTGGGCAAATCTGCTGCAAAAGACCTTTATGCAAAAGTGTTGAACTAACCCCAAGCCAGTATTTTCATCACCTCATATGCATGTGAAATCTGGACAGTGAATAAGGAAGACAGAAGAAGAATTGATGCTTTTGAATTGTGGTGTTGGCAAAGAATACTGAAAATATCACAGACTGCCAGAAGAACAAACAAATCTGTCCTTGAAGAAGTGTAGCCAGAATGCTCCTTGGAAGAAAGAATGGCCAGACTTCATCTTACCTACTTTGGTCATGTTGTGAGAAGGGACCAGTCCTTGGAGAAGGATGTCATGTTTAATAAGGTAGAAGGTCAGTGAAAAATGGGCAGGCCCTCAACAAGATGGATTGACATAGTGACTGCCACAGTGGGTTCAGGTATAGCAAGGATTGTTAAGACGGGTGCAGGACCAGGCAGTGTTTTGTTCTGTTGCACATAGGTTCGTTATGAGTCAGAGCCAACTCGACAGCACCTAACAACAACAACATAGTATATTAAAGAATTTATTATTTGAACATGCCATAAAATATTTACTAGTTAAATTTTAGGAAATAAACTTAATTTCTCTTTTTTTTAATTCTTAAGATCTACTAAATACTTAAAGAATGATTTTATATTCAGATTTTGTTAAATAGTTGATAGAGGACAAATTATTCCTTCCATTCTCTGACTTAACATCTGCAGTGTGTTCACATTTGATGGTCTAAGTTTGAATACATTTTAAGTCCTGGCATGTGGGACAATTCTGAAAATATCAAAGGCCCTTTAAAATATTTTGACAATGTAATTTAAAATGTCCTAATATGGCTAATTTAAAATCAAGAAAGACGTGCATCAGGGTTGTATATACTTTCACCATACTTACTCAGTTGGGATGCTGAGCAAATAATACGAGAAGCGGGACTATATGAAGAAGAATGTGGCATTAGGATTGGAGGAAGGCTCATTAACAGCTTGTGATATGCAGATGATATAACCTTGCTTACTGAAAGAGAAGAAGACTTGAAGCACTTACTGATGAAGATCAGAGACTATAGCCTTCAGTGTGGATTACACATCAACATAAAACAGAAATCCTCATAACTGGACCAGTAAGCAACATCATGATAAATGGGGAAAACATTGATGTTGTCAAGGTTTTAATTTTACTTGGATCCACAATCAATGCCCATGGATGCAGCAGTCAAGAAATCAAATGGTGTATTGCATTGGACAAATCTATTGTCAAACACTTCTTCACAGTGTTTAAGAGCAAAGATGTCACTTTGAATACTATGGTGCACCTGACACAAGCCCCATGGTATTATCAATAGTCTTATATGCGTGTGAGTCCTGGACAATGAATAGGAAGACAGCAGAAGAATTGATGCATTTGAATTGTGGTGTTGGTGAAGACTACTAAATGTAGTAACATGGACAGATAGAAGAACAAAAAGATCTATCTTTTAAGAAGTAAGCTAGAATGCTCCGTAGAGGCGAGAATGGCCAGACTTCATCTCTCATCCTTTGGTCATGTTGTTGGAAGGAACCAGTACCTGGAGAGGGATGTCATGCTTGGTAAAGTGGAGGTTCAGCAGAAAAGGAAAACCCTTCATGAGATGGATTGACGCAGTGGCTACAACCATGGTCTCAAGCATAGCAACAATTGTGAGAATGTCACAGGTCTAGGCAGTGTTTTGTTCTGTTCTATGTAGTGTCACAATGGGTTAGAACCAACTCATTGGCACCTAACAATCACCACCACCATAGCATGGTTAATTATGATCTGGTGGTGCAATGTTAAGTGCTTGGCTTCTAATCAAAAGGTTGGCTGTTTGAACCCACCCAGCAGTTTCACTCAGTCACATGGGGCCACTATGAGTTGAAATCTAAATATTACAGCCTAGAAAACCCTGTGGGACAGTTCCAGTCTGTCACATGGAGTCACTCTGTGTCTAAATTTACTCAGTGGCACCCAACAGTAATTGGGTTCTCACAGCTCATTTGGTTTAATACCCAGTTTTAAATAACTATATTTTGGTTCTTTTCAGGTAAATAAAAGTGTGCAATTTACTGCTCAAGAACTTTATGATTGTGTTTCACAGACTGAGTATCGGTAAGTCATATATATATTAATATTGTAAGAATATTTTACCATATACAGCACAACATGATAGTGGTGAGGGTTTTTGTTTTTTTGTTTTCTTTTCACTAAACTAGGCTTTTTTATATTTACTAATATGCAATGTTTCATACATAGAGAAAGCTGTGTATGTGTGTGTGTCTGTGTATACATTGAGAGAGGAAAGAATTAGAGTGAGGATGTATAAGGTGGTTCTCAAACACTTTGACTTCAGGGACTTTTATATTTGTACAAATTATTAAAGATCCCTAAGAGCTTTTATTTATGTGGTTATATCTATCTATATTTACTGTATTAGAAATTAGAACTGAGAAGTTTTAGTATATTTATTAATTCCTTTTAAAATACTAATAATTAATTTCATGTTAAGATAAATAACATTTTTATGAAAGTAACTTTTTCCAAACAAAAAATTATTACTGAGAAGAGTGGCATTGTTGCAAATCTTTTTAACATCTGACTTAATAGAAGTCAGCTGGATTCCATATCTACTTTTTTAATTGAAATGAAATTCACATAACATAAAATTAACCATTTAAAATTGAACAGTTCAGTGGCATTTGGTGTGTTCACAATGTTGTGTACCACTGCCTCTATCTAGTTCCAAAATATTTCCGTCATCTCAAAAGGAACCCTGTACCCATTAAGCAGTTGCTCTCCATGTCTTCCTCTCCTCAGCCTCTGGCAACCACAAATCTCATTCTGTTTCTATAGATTTACCTATTCTAAATATTTCAGATAAATGAAATCATAACAGTACATGACTTTTTGTGTCACACTTCTTTCACTTAGCATAACGTTTTTAAGTTTCATCCTCTTTGTTGCATGTATCAGTACTTCTTTTTTTTTTTTAATGGCTGAATAATTGCCCACTGTATGTATGATTGGGCAATCTACTTCCGTAGTGACACTGCTCAGAAACCCAAGGAGGGGTCGCTATGAGTTGGATCTAACTCGACGGCAGTGAGTTTGGTTTTTCCTTTGGTATATTTATACCACGATTTGTTTATATGTTCTTCCTTTGATGGACATTTAGGCTGTTTCCGTGTTTTTGTCTATTGTGAGTAATGCTACTGTGAACATGCATATATATTTATTTGTTTATATACCAGTTTTTAATTCTTTTGGGAATTTCCCTGGGAGTAGAATCGCTGGGTTATATGTAATTTTACGTTTAACTCTTTGAGGAACTACATACTGTTTCTTCAGCAACTGCATCATTTACCTTACCACTAGCAATATCTCTGTGTTCCAGTTTCTTGCCATCCTTGCCAGTACTTTTCATTTTCTATTTTTCCATTACAGCCATTCTAGTGGGTATGAAATTATACATAATTTTTATTTGCTTTCCCTATCATATCTGCTTTTGCATTATTCTGTTATGATAATCACGTGTCATACAAACTCTGGGAAACTACTGTGTACTTTTAAGAGAATGAGAGTGCAAAAAGCACCGTATGTCTTAATCTTATTATGAAAATAGCTTTGTCCTCACAGATGCTCTGAATCTCTGGGAACTCAGACTATGCTTTGAAGATAAACTAATATAGAGAATAGCCATTACATAGCTCTCCATTCAGATGAAAAAATAGATTTCACCCAGACCTTGTTGAATCTTCCCTACCCCTACCTCCCTATCCTCTTCCTAGGAATTTTGTGTTTTTAATGTGTGTTCTTTTCTCTATCACTTTACTATATATCATATATCAGTAAAAATTTTTTTTAATTTTGCCTGTTTGTGAACATAATGGTATCACACTGTATATCTACTGTGCTATTTTCTTTTTAACTTCATATTGAGATTGATCCATGTTGATACATAGAGAAGTAGTTGGTTTACAGTGATTTCTATCGTAACACAATATGTATGTTCCTAAATATCAGCAGAGAGCTCTGGTAGCATAGAGCCTAACGTACTTGACTGCTAACCGGAAGGTTGGTGGTTCAAACCCATCAGCCACTCCTTGGAAGGAAGGTTGGGCAATCTATTTCTGTAGTGATACTGCTTCAGAAACCCAAGGAGGGGTCGCTGTGAGCCGGGTCCGACCTGACAGCACATAACAATAACAACACAACAACAAATATCACCATGGCACTGTCTATAATCTTTCAATTAAAAATCATAGGGCTTATGAGAAAAATTGGCTTAGGGGAACAACACCCAAAAACTTCTTCAGAGATACATTAAACAATGATAGAAATGTGATAAAAATAGTATCATAGTTTTACAAATAGTAAATGGTTAAGAAATACATAAATACTATACTAAATATGGCAGAGGGGTTGACCGAGCAGCAGCAACCAGGGATCCAGGTAAGGGGAACGAATCACGCCACACCCCCACCAGCCAGGAAAGCAGGAGAAAGAGAAGCCAAGGGGATGACAGAACAGAGCAATAGCCAGGGATCCAGGTAAGGGGTGGGACCCACCTCCCACCCTTCACACCACCCGCACCATCCTGGAAAGTGGGGGATAGAGAAGCCAGAGGGTATTAAAGAACTAAGCAACAGCCAGGGATCCAGGTAAGGAGAGTGACCCAATCTCCGCCCCCACCAGCCAGGAAAGCCGGAGAAAGAGAACCCAGAAGGGAGGACAGAGCAGAGCAGCAGCCAGGGATCCGGGGACCTAGGCCTCACCTCCACCAGCCAGGAAAGCAGGGGAAAGAGAAGCCAGTGGGGATGATAGAGCAACAGCGGGGATCCAGGTAAGGGGAGCAACTCAGGCCCCACCCCCACTAGCCAGGAAAGTGGGGGGTGGGGGCAGGGGGGAAGAGAAGCCAGAGGGGTTGATAGAGCAGAGCAACAGCCAGGGATCTTGGTAAGGGGAGGGATCTAGGCCCAACCCCCAAGCCAGGAAAGTGGGGGAAAGAGAAACCAGGGGGTGACAGAGCAGAGCAGCAGCCAGGCATACAGGTAAAGGGAGGGACCCAGACCCCATCCTCACCAGCCAGGAAAGCAGGGGAAAGAGAAACCAGAGGGGAGAACAGAGCAGAGCAACAACCAGGGATCCAGGTAAGGGGAGCAACCCAGGCCCCACCCCTACCAGCCAGGAAACCAGGGGAAAGAGAAGCCAGGGTGACGACATTGCAGAGGAGTGCCAGGGATCCAGGTAAGAGGAAGGTGGTGAGGTTTTGAACAGCTAAGCAAGACAAACTTGTCTGTCAGTTTGTCGTGCTGTTGTGGCTTGCATGTTGCTGTGAGGTTTGAGGCTGTTCCACCAGTTTTTGAAGTGCTGGCAGGTTTGCACATGGTACACAGGTTTCAATGCAGCTTACAGACTGACACATACTAGGAAGAAGGAAGAGGACATCTACTTCTCAAAGAGATGGCCAGGGAAAACCTTATGAATAGCAGAGAAACATTGATACATATGTTAGACTGGGTTCTCTAGAGAAACAAAAACCAGCAAAGCTTATATATATATATATATATAGAGAGAGAGAGAGAGAGAGAGAGAGAGAGAAATTTATCATAGGAAAATGGCTCACAATGTATAGAAGCCTGCAAGTCCAAAGGCCCTGGAGCAAACGTCAGGCTGCAGGCTTTTCTTAGCTTCCACAACAGCAGGGGGTCGAGAAGCTCAAGGCTGGCAGGCAGTACACTGGCTGTTGACTCCAATGAATGATGAATCCAAGATCTCCAGGCCAAACAGTGGACTGCTCACTCACGGAGAGTTGTGGGCAGCACACCAGAATCCTGATCCACAGAAGAATGTCTCTCTCTTCCCAGGTTGTCCCAGGATATCCTGGAAGCAGGCCATACCCCTAGGGAAACTCCCCTTGATCAGATTGGCCACTCAGAACACAGTCATCTGATCCCATCGTGGGAACAAGCACACAGAACTGGGATCCAGCCAGATTGACACACAGCTCCAACTATCAATACATTAGTGTCAAACTTTATGAATAACCCTGAAACATTATGTGATACAGTGCAGGAGAACAAGCTCGTTAAGTTTAGAAGCTTACAAAATACTACTACGAAAGAGCTGCATCATCAAAGTAGGACCAACCTTACTGATATGGATAAAATAAAGCTTTGAAGACCTCCATTTGCTGACATGGCATGACTCAAATTGAGGAGAAACAGCTGCAAACATCCATTAATAATAGGAACATGAAATGTATGAAGTATGAATGTAGGAAAACTAGAAGTTGTCAAAAATGAAATAGAACACATAAAAATTGATATCCTATGTATTAGTGAGCTGAAATGGACTGGTTTTGGCGATTTTGAATCTGATAATCATATGATCTGATAATCATATGCCAGGAATGACAATTTTGAAGAGGAATGGCATGGCATTCATCATCACAAAGGGTGTTTCAAGATCTATCCTGAAGTACAGTGCTGTCAGTGATAGGACAATATCCATATGTCTACAAGGAAGACCAGTTCATATGACTATTATTCAAATTTATGCACCAAACACCAGGCTACAGATAAACACATAAACATTTGAGGGGGATCAGATGGGGATCAGTGAACAGGAATATACTCTAGACCAAGGATAGATTCAGCTGAGGCTAATCTTGCACAGATACCAGAGGTACAAAATACCTGCAATCCTTCCAGAAACAACAGAAGACAGACACAGAGTAATCCCTCACAGACACTCAGACACTGTGGGAAAGAAATCCAAAGTATCTACCATCTCAGGACCATAGTACTGGGGGACACCAGACTCAAAAAAAAAAAAAAACCTTATGAATAGCAGTGAAACACTGTCTGATATATTACTGGACAACTTTATGAATAGCCCTGAAACATTGTCCAATACTGTGCTGAAAGATGAGCTCCTCGGTTTGGAAGGCACTCAAAATATGACTGGGAAAGTGCTGTCTCATCAGAGTAGAGCAAACCTTAATGATATGGATAAAGTAGAGCTTCCAGGACCTCCATTTGCTGATGTGGCACAACTCAAAATGAGAAGAAACAGCTGTAAACATCCATTAATATGGAATGTATGAAGTA